ATCATTATCATTGCCATTATAATTATATTATTGTCATTATTATTTCTAAGATCATCATTATTGCTATTATCATTATATAATAGTTATAATGATAAAAATAGCAATAATAATTAGCATAATAATTATTATAACTGCAATAATGATGATAATAATAATGATAATCATGATGATAATGACTATAATGATAATAATCATAAAAATGATGACAGTAATGATAATAATGATGAAAATAATTATTATTCAGTCCATTTATAATGAAATAAAGGCCAGAAGTAATAAATTCCCAAAAGTCGAAAAAAACGGCAAAATCTAGCGTATTACAGCCTTTTGAGAGAAACGTCGAAAAAAACCTTTTCGTTTTTAATGGTAATTATGAGGATTTTAACATTAATTCAGGTAATTATGATGATTTCCATGATGATCCTTTATTATTGACAATTGATGATAATTATGATGATAATGACAATGATAATGACAATAATATAATGATGTCATAATTATAATGATAATCTTGATAATTACTGCAATAATAGCAATAATCAACTCTATTCCAATAATTTCCATACTAAAATGGCAAAAGAAATATAATAACATCATTATCATTGTCATTATAATTATTATTATTGTCATTATTATTTCTAAGATCATTATTGCTATTATCTTATATAAATAGTTATAATGATAAAAAATAAAGCAATAATAATTATATAACTGCAATAATGATGATAATAATAATGATAATCATGATGATAATGACTATAATGATAATAATCATAAAAATGATGACAGTAATGATAATAATGATGATAATGATTATCATTCAGTCCATTTATGATGAAATAAAGGCCAGAAGTAATAAAATCCCAAAAGTCGAAAAACGGCAAAATCTATCGTTGAAAAAAAACCTTTCGCTTTTAATGGTAATTATGATTTTAACATTAATTCAGGTAATTATGATGACTTCCATGATGATTCTTTATTATTGACAATAATGATGATAATTATGATGATAATGACAATGATAATGACATCATCATCATAATCTGGAGCTTACGCCGACGGGGCGCATAGCCGCGTCCACCTTCTGCTTCCACCTTTTGGGATCTCTCATGGCAAGTCGCCAGCAGGGGCCCGGCCCATCTCGAGCTCTTCCCGACAGGTTTGATCGATCTGCCTAAGCCACGACCTCCTAGGTCGTCCCACAGGCCTCCTCCACCCAGGGTTGTCTCGAACAGAGACAACCTGATGGGCAGGATCAGCCTGTGGAAAACGAGCCAGGTGGCCAGATAGCCTGAGTTGGCGATCCCGGATTGTGCAGGTAACAGGTCCTGTGCCAGTCTCACGGTGCAGCCGTTGGTTAGACACATGGTCCCGCCAACAGTACCCCATGATCCGGCGCAAGGACCTATTACAAAAGGCGTCAAGACAGGACTCCAGTGCACTGGATAATGTCCAGGTTTCACTACCGTAGAGCAAAACTGGCATTACCAGGGCCCTGAAAACCCGTAGCTTGGTCCTTCTGCACAGGTACCGGCATCTCCAAATACTCTTGTCGAGAGAGTTCATGACCCCTGCTGCCAGGCCAATCCGTCTACTGACTTCCTGGTCTGACAGCCCAGAGTTATGAACTGCACTACCAAGGTATGTAAAGCTCTCTGTGACCTCAATGTCCTCGCCGCAAGCACGTACCGACTGAACAGGTTCTCCTAGTAAGTCCCCAAAGTCCTGGATCTTGGTCTTGGTCCAGGAGACCTCTAGACCCAAGGGCTTCGCTTCATTACTAAATGCATCGAGGGCCACCACTAAGGTTTCCAAAGACTCAGATAGAATTGCAACATCATCGGCAAAATCAAGGTCTGTAACTTTAATATTACCCAGTGTTGCTCCACAATGACTTTGAACAGTAGCTCTGCCTAGTATCCAGTCCATGCAAGTGTTGAAAAGGCTTGGTGCAAGAACACAGCCTTGCCTCACTCCTGAACTGACAGGAAAGAAGCTCGACAGGCCCCCACCACACTTTACAGCACTTTCAGTACCAGTATATAGGTTTGCTATTAGTTCAATAATCCTTGTTGGAATTCCTCTCAGTCTCAGGATCTCCCAGAGTGATTCCCGATGTACTGTATCGAACGCCTTCTTGAGGTCGATTAGGCTGCAAGTAACCCACGTCCGAACTCACGACGGCGCTCTACAATGACTCGAAGCGCAAGGATACGGTCTATTGTTGACTTACCAGGAGTGAATCCGGATTGCTCTGGCCTCTGATGCCTTAGTAGATGGTCTCTGATACGCCTCAGAAGGATGCGGGCAAGAACCTTGCCTGGTACACTGAGCAGTGTGATGCCGCGGTGATTGGTGCAGTCCCATCGGTCCCCTTCCCCTTCCAGAGAGGGATGACCACACCCCTCAACAGGTCAGAGGGAACGGTACCGGACTGCCAAATGGCAGCCAGGACAGCATGCAATCCCTGCGCCATAGGTTCACCACCAGCCTTTAACAGTTCAGCTGGGATGCCGCAAATACCCGCTGCTTTACCACTCTTCAGCTTGGAGATCGCCTCCCTAACCTCAGCTAGGGAGGGAGGGTCCTCGCTAATGGGTGGGTCCGGCAGCGGAATCACGGCACTACCCACATCCAAGTTAACTGTTGGAGGGTCAACCTGATACCTGCAACAGCCCAACGCTCACCGCAACAGGATCTGAGACATCTGGCCACCCTAAGCGAACTGCAGTCACCTGTGAAGAGGGCTTGGAGTTCAGTTTTCTCAGGGCTTGGTATGCAGGACGAAGGTCATTTACTAAGAAATGGCCTTCAACCTCCTCAGCAAGATTCCTAATAAACTGTTCCTTGTCCCTTCTTAACAGAGACCGAGTTCTGCGCACCTGAGAACGGTGCAAATCCCGATCCCCTGCCAGACGAGCCGGCAAGCATCAGTGGCTTCCAGTGTCTCCTGAGAGATTGAATTCTGTCTTGCTCTCGGGCGTTCTCCAATCGATTCTTGGGCTGCATCAAGCGTTTCACGCTTGAAGGTGTCCCACAGAAGTACAGGGTCCGTCAGATTGTCAAGCGCTGTGAACCGATCAGAGATTGTCTCAGCAAACCTCCGAGCACACTCCCTCTCCTTCAGCCTGTCCAGATGAAACACCCTAGGGTGGTCATTGGGCCGCTGGGGAGTTTTGAAGTGTACCCGGAGGGTAGCCACAACCAATCTATGGTCAGTACCACAGAACTCAGCACTCCTATACACCCTGCAGTTCTGGAGGATCCTCCAACGAGTGCTAACGAGAATGTGGTCGATCTCCTTGGCTGCATTACCCGCACTGTACCATGTCCAACGATGTGGGTCTGGGCACTGGTACCAGGAGCCAGAAATCCTCAATTTCTGGGATCTAGCAAAATCCCGAAAAGGAGGGAATTCTCTCTCCCAGTATCAACTCCCGTGAGGACTGACTGACATCTCATAGCCAGCTTGATCGCTGCCAGATACCGCATTGAAGTCACCCAGAAACAATACCTTGCCGGGACAACTGTCTGCCATAGATGCAAGTTTGGCGTAGAACATCTCTTTCACATCAAGTTTACAAACATCAGTAGGAGCGTACACAGCAATAAGAGACATGAAGCCACCTACACTGATCGTGCTGCTGCCAGGTCTTCTCACCTCCGAGAGAGCAGCCACCCCTACTCTCAGCCTCCCCAGTTCCCTCGATAGCAGGGGCAACCAATCATCCTGACACAAAGGCGGATGTTCCAAGCCCCCACCCTGCTTCCTGAGGTTAAACCCTCAGGCAGTCGCTCCAGGTGGACGCCACCTTTGCCACCCCCAGGCTGCGGGACTCTTCATCCACCTGTGGGGTTCCCTAAGGTTTTGCCCCACAAGCTTCATTTTGGCTGGCGGCTGCCAAAACGCAGGCAGGGAGCTCCCGTTCCCATTCTGCGCCCCAGCAGCCACCCTTCCAACGGGGCCGCAGCCCGCCTCTCTTGCTGGGTAGGAGGGACATTACCCCTCCCCCCAGCATTTCTGTTTAAATGAGATGCTGCCTGGGGGAGGAGGCTGGCAAGGCCTACCTCCCTCGAGCCTCCATTGACCCCAGGGGGCTTAGGGGCAGGAGTTAGTACAGGGCCAGGGCATGTCTACATGCTGGTGGGCCATGAGCCTGTACTCTGGGGCCTCCTGCTGCTCCAAGATCCCCTACAGTTCAGTCTGTGTGCCAGTTTCCATAGGTGGCACGAGGAGCACTGCAGAAGTCTCAATGATGGAGAGGCTATGAACTGGCAGGGGAGACTTATGCAGCGCTGCTCCCTTTTTTCGCACAAGGCTAGCCAGCGGTGGCAGCTGCAAGCGAGAAGGCATGCAAGCACTTAACACTATCTAGGCTACCACACCATTGCTTCACACCACCCTGCGCATGAAGCACCCATATAATATAGTGTACTACATTCTATTCCTACAGTAGTAATATAGTATTTACCATTTCAAATTCCTTCTCTGTATTGCTCTTTCTACACTTACTTTTACCTTTACAATAACTTTGATAATACCATATAATTTTGGTACCCACATCTCTGGTGTAGAATTTTTATAGTCTGGAAGTGGTCCTGTTCAAAGTATGCCAGATATCTGTAATTTATATATAACTGATACAGAATTAATCTATGCGTACCAAATAAAAGAATGAATAGATATCGTTAGAGAAATATTACCTTACAGAAATGTATATGCAAAAAATACACATAAATAAACACATACATAAGTATATACATATGTAAATATAAACACATACATACATAAATTCATAATCATAAGTAACAAGTAGAAAGCATCCCCATTTACTCAACAGATTCCTATGAAAACTATGAAATCGGTGGACAAAAAATGCCTCTATGTTTGATCCTCCTTCAATAAAACAACTGGTGAGTAAATTCCATGAGTAAAACTGTACCTCCATCCAGCCATCCCTCTTTCCTGAGCCGCTGACAATTCCTGTTCTGTGGCTTGCTTAACCGACGAGGTGAGAGAAGCTGTGGGAGTAGATTTTTCAACCCATGCCCCTTCATCTTCACTGCTACTGCTCTGTAGAGAGAAAATGTGTTTTTGTCGACTAGATGATATATAGAACATGCGTTTATATTTGTAAAGATCAGCAAAAATAAATAAAATGTGTCTTACAAGTTTTCTAAATCCTTCATGATTTTCTACCAAATTCCTGACTTACTGAGGATGACGTGTCATGTTTCTTGCTCTTCTTCGATTTCTTCTGTTTCTTTTTCTCTTCTTTTTTTCCTTTTCTTCTTTTTCTTCTTGGAACTATCAAGGTTCACCTCCACAGATGAGAGCATCCATGTGTGTTCCCCTCTCTGGCGGCTACCTCTTCCCTCACTTTCCTGACCTCATACTCATTCTTGGCCTTGAATTGAAGAGTTAAGGGATTAGTCTCATGCAAGCAAAATCTAATACAGTTTTAATTTGGACTCACCGTACAAAGTGAAAATGGAAAATAATGTAATAAATGGGGAATAGGTCAATTGGCAAAACCATTGTCACAATCTTTCTAGCAAAGTTTCTTAATACAATTTAACTTCAAAATAACTTGCTATATCAAACCTAATATATGGGTAATTGAGTTAACATCAAATTCTTAAAACAGAGTATTACATCATTATTTTTGGAAGAAATGACAGAAAATGAAACAAACAGTAATCTAATTTCTATACACCTATTCTGATACCCTACAAGCACATAAAAGATGAAGATATTCAAGAGAAGATAGGAAATTATGATGTGATGTTTTGGAGGTAAATATCTCCACCTGCTTTATAGAGCATTCCTAATCATACCTTTATATACTTTTAACCTTAACTGAGATAACCATTAAGGAGATATTTGCAATGGCCATCAAAGTGAGGTTTTACCTTATTATACTAGCTACATTCTGTCCACATCCACTCAAAAACTGGATATGATCTGTAATGGAAGGCCTACAATTTGAATTCTAATTAAATCTTCAGCAATCACCATGGCCTCCACACATTTGGTTCTCCAGCAAAACTAAAATAAACCTCCACCTAGGAAATTCTGAGCAAGTTCTCATTGATGACAGATGTCTGGAAAAAACTGCTTTTACCAGCATACAAGATGATAGAGAATTGTTGCCCTTTGCTCAAGTCCCACAGGTACGTAGGCCAATGGGAGATATTTGGCTGTGACATCTAGGCAAGAGGCAGATGGGTAAATGGCCAGTAATAATTTACGGAATAAGTTATTTACAGCGACATGCTTAGGTAGAGTGGGAAAAATAGAAGGGGATAGAATACAGTTTAAGATGCGCAGGCCTTATAGTCACCACTAAATGACAAAAATATAACGCGTGCTTGCTTTTCAAATTCAAAGTCCATGAGCTTGTTTACCTTGCAAAGAAAACAACAACACTGACCCACAAACATGTTTTTGCATTCTCGAACTAGTCCGTGTATTATAACGCGCTTGTCAAAATGATATTTGGCTAATTATCTATGTCTGTTGGTATACATTTATGCCTTTATAGTCTTTATTAATGTTATTATACTTCATTTGCAAATTCTAATATTTATCTATACCCTCATATAGAATCCTGCATAGCCAGTGTTTCACACTTTCTTGACAGCTCACCAACCACTCATTTTGAGTGAGAAGAATGTGAGAAATGTTGCTTTTCCAGTGCTGTGTTGATTCTGGGTTCTTTTTAAGACTTTTACAGTGGCATCGAAGAATAATTAGACTTTAGTAACCATCCCAGTTTTATATCTGAGCCCATCAAGAGCTCCAAATGACAAAAAAGGTGATTAAAATTGAAGCAATCCCAAGGTACAAAGAAACACCCAAAGTTTCAAGTTTCCGGATATAAAAGGTATTTGGATTATTATTTTATAGTGTGAATGCAGCTCTGTCTTGCCGTACATACCGTGGTAGAGAGAATGTGTCCTGGGGGATGTTGGGAGGCTTTGCCCCCCAACATCCCTCCCCTCAGGCAGTGCCCAAACGGTATGCTTAGTCACGGCAATACATACTGATATATTAGGTTGGTTTATTGGTCAGTACGTTTTTTGGGTGGGTTGGGTTCACATAGAGTTTTTGATTTCTGGCACATCAGCCTGTAGAATTTCAAAGATAGCAGTTACATCCGTAGAGTTTCATTGGCCAATTTTAAGCATTTTTTGTGATAGTTTTACGCATTTTGAGCATTATTCTTCTTATTTAAGCTTGTTTTACCCCATAATTTCCCTGATATACTTCTTGCCCTCCCCTGCTGAAGGGACTATCAAATTAAGATCGTCGATGGAGAAATGGTACTCAATCTCCTGAACGATTCATTCACAGAAGAAACAATCCCGAAAATCAATGAAATCATAGGATTTCATGCAGACATTTTTCTTTTTTCGACTTAGTCTCTAGGGAGGTGCGTCACTCTATGTAACAATTACCTAATTTACATTTACTGAAAGAAAACAGATTAGGAATCACACAAAAACTTGTAATGGTACCGGTATATGAATACGTAAGTCCATATTCTGATATTTATTTCTAATTTGGTAATTTTCTATATTACGTCTGCCGCTCACCCAGGGGCAATGATGTTGAAGTGGCGTACGTAATATATAAAATACCCTAATAATATAAACCCACAGTGAAAACAATCATGGTTATTCACATGACAGGGGAGCAGTGGCCCCTGGAGGTGGCTGCCGCCCCCCAAAACCTTGCCGAGGAAACAAAATCTCCACCATGTATTCACAGCAGGATAGAGCGCACACGAACTAGATGCGGAGCCGATAACCTACAATAACCTAGGATTTTTAAGGACTAACCTCATTGATAGATGCCGCTAATAGTAGGGAGGGTGCTCCTTTGCCACAGAAGGTGAAGGAGGCAGGTTGTAATGTGGACAGTGAGAGGAATCTAACGATACCAAAATCATCGATATCGGAGCGGCGGAGGTAATATAGAAAATTACCCACATCTCTACCATTTCTTCCTAGCTGGTTGCTATTTCGTGCAGGAAATCCATCTCCAAGTACTGAACGCGAAGGTATTTTTCGATTAGGAATTCGAATGTCGTTGTTCCAGAGGACGGGAAACTCGACCTTGAGGCCATCAGTGTAACATCGAAAGAGGCGCAAAACCCACCGTCAAGGGCGGACCACCCTGTTTCATCCTGATTATACTACAATCGTGTTTATATACAATGCTGACTATGCCAAGGTTAATATGCTGATTCAGTGGGAATGTTGTGAGGTAATTATAACATTACGCCCGCTGCTCCGACATAGACGATGATTGTGTAACACTCTAGCCTGCCGTGAGTACGTGGTGGAGGTTTTGTTTCCTCGGCGGGGGTTGGGGGCGGCAGCCCCCCCAGGGAGGGAATCCAAAGAGACCAAAATCGTCGATATCAGGGAGGCGGACGTAATATAGAAAATTACCTCTAATTTATTTGTTTGTAGAAATAATCAGCCAAAATAACACTGATAATGCTTTACAAACAAAATACTCTTGTAAATAAAACTTCTGGTAAAACAAATACGAAAATGTAACTTCCAATAAAATCTTCAGTTGATGTCGCAGTTAGAGTGGACTCACCTTCTCAAGAATATAATTTCTAGCTTCTCTTTCCAGTTGTCTTTTTCTTTTCCTTTTGCCTGGAGCTCTCAAAGTCAATTATGGATGAGACATTGTGAATGAAGAATTGTAAGAGTAAATACGATTTGTGAAAGACGTTCGCGTTTTGTTTACGTAGCATTTGCTAAATTAACTTGATTTTAATCTTGTATTATATCTGTGTGAATGAGTTAATGTAGCCTAAAATGATTCTTAAAATACATGAATTTTCTTTTGGAATACAAACATTGTATATTCTACTTTTCTCTCTTAATTTCTCAAATGATACATTTCATGTACAGGGAAGCATGTAAACACATCTACTTCAGTTTGCATTATTATGATTCACTACTATTCAAAAAGTCAAAATATATTCGTGCTTTAAGTCAAGACATATTTCACATTTTTTTCCTAATTATGGAGTGACATTATCAGATCCCGCATAATAAGGTGTAATTTGCATTCAGTACGAGGTGCCGATGAACGATAACCGCGAATTGTTATTATCAAATACCTACAAATATTTAATACTTTCACCAATGGTAGAATGTATATTCTATTTTTCTTGACTGCATGATTCACTAATGAAGATGAATATCAATCGAGCTCGCCCAATAGATAAGATATGATAAAGCAGGAAGTCAAATACGCACATCCACCTGACGTGACGCAGAAATATGCCGGCAAAATTTTCTTCATTAATCTAATCAATATTTATTGTGAATTAATGCTGGCACATGCATACGAGGCAATAGTTATGTCGTTTTTACAGTACCACGAAGATCTGTGTGGGATGTAAGTTATCTATAAAGTTTATGCGTGATTGTGGCACGCGTTTTACGGGTCAGAAAGTTACTGCGTTTTAGTTTTCTTTTATTAAGTAGCTGCGGCAAGTATGAATTTTCTCCCCGATTGATAATGTTGAGATAGAAAAGATATAAAGGGAGAAGAGAAGGGATATAAATAGATAGATGGAGAGAGAGAGAGAGAGAGAGAGAGAGAGAGAGAGAGAAGAGAGAGAGAGGGAGAAGAGAGAGAGAGAGAGAGAGAGAGAGAGAGAGAGAGAGAGAGAGAGAGAGAGAGAGAGAGAGAAGAGAGAGATGAATAGAAGAGGAAAACATAGTAACTAAAAAAGTAAATATCACATACCCAAATATATCCTAAAACACAAACACCGCCACCACACCCTTAAAACCCCAAAGATGAAAAACCTAAAAGAGAAAGTCATCTCGTACGACACTTTCTCTCCGTCCCCGCACGACACTCGGCCTCAGTGGAAGCCGAATTTCGCAGCCATTTCGCGCGCTTTTCCGGGAGGCGTGGGATGTAGATCTCGTGTTTTGAGTGTTGTGAAAGTTCGCCCAATTATTCCCCTTATTACGAGGAGAATATGAACTTTGGAAGCTCTTAGAGAACGCGGAGGTAAGCCGGAGAGGAATTCCGAGCGGAGTTTCTGGATAGAAAGTTCTCTTGTTTTAGAGGTATTCAATTTTTTTTCCTCGTTTACCTTTTTCCGCCTTCCCAAATTTTTTTTCTTCTAGACTTTTCAAGATTTTTCTCTCCGAGGCTCATCTTACCTCGCCGGGATGATGATGCCGATAGTCTCGAAGTTCTCACCAATCCCCAGACCACCAGGAGTTGGAATTTTTAGTGAAATAGGGTCTTGAGAGTGAAAATAAGGCGAATGTTTACGTGTGTGTGAGAGTACATTGGAGAAAGCGTGGCGGGCTGAGGTCAGACCTACGGGTTTTAACAATGCACTCGAGGCGGGCTGAAGGGAAGGAATTTCATTCTTTTGGGGGATTGTACAGGTTGCTTCGTTTATTTAGTAGGTTAATTTTTTTTATTTGTGTGTGTGTGCTTGTGACGTTGCGTATTTTATATTTTCGGGATTAAGGTAATGGGGCTGGCAAAAGAAGGGTTTTTTCTACTTTTCTGTGCATGGGGAGCATCTTCGTTTATTTGAGTTTAAGGAGGTTATTTTTTGGTATTTTTCTGTGTGTGTGAGAAGGTTGTGTTTCTTTGGTTTCAGGTGATGGGGTTGTGAAGGAAGGGCTTTTTCCATTCATATCCAGGTGGAGGGGGGGGGCCTCTCTTCGTTTGTTTGAGTTTGAGGAGGTTTTTTGTGCGTGTGAGGTCATTGAGATGATGGGGTTGTGAAGGGAGGGCCTTTTGTAATAAGGTGTAGGTACTTTGTTTGGTCAAGGTTTGGTTGAAATAAAGTGTGGAATCTAGCAAAGTTTGAGGAGGTTTAGTTTATTATTCTTTCCCATTTTTTGGTTAGGTTCTGTTTGAACAAGCACAGGTTAAAATGTCCTAAGAAAGTTAAATTGAAGATTTTATGACAGATTTAAAGCCCAGTTAACTGAAATGTACCATATACCAGTGCAGCATTTCATCGTTCTGCACAGCTTGTAACATTTATTGCAACTCACTAGGCTTAGTCTGGTTATGTAGTAATTCTAATGTTAGCTGTGGGCATGTTTGACATACCATACTGTTTGACTTCATGATAAACTTGACAACATTAAAGAAAATTCCTGGGTAATTGGTTATGAAATGACTGCGCCTCTGAGAAGACCTTGTTATTCAAGCTAGTAACAACATTAGGGTCAGTCCTGGCAATCCACAACCATTGCAGTATGAATCAGTTCTTGTTTTCAGGCTCCAACACTTTTGCCTCAAATGATTATTTTTCATTTATGACTAAAGTACATGTAAAATACATTACTTAGATTCATTATTTGCTTTATAAGAGATGGAAATATGAAATTCAAGTGTTACCCAAAAATCATCCTAACCTGGTTGGACCCCCACTCAGTCACTTTGTTTCTCTAAGTGGGTGCTTCTTCCATACAAACCTCACTTGATTGCCATAAATTCAGTCTTCATGCAGCATTTGTCACAACTCATTTTCTTAATATACAATGTTATTCTTTGCCAGGGAGCTATACTGATATATATCAGTGGAGGTAGTTTTCCTCTCTCTCAAAGACAATGTCCTTAGATTTTCCCAGTCTTAATTTCAGTCATATGTATAAATCCCAACCATTTGAAAATTAACAGTTTGCCTTTGTATTAGATTCATTTTGGTTCATTGCATTGGTCAGCAGGTCAGGCTCCAGCATTCTTGTGAAGTGCCATGTTGGGATCAGTCTCATTGTGCAATATACAACCAGTTGCTTGGAATTGTAATAAGTTGAAGTCAACAATAAGAGTTACTTAGCTCCAGGTATTTAGTACTCCTAAAGAAATTTAAAAAAACTTGCAGTATTCCATAGATTCTTTTTCTTATGGAAGGACAAATCTTACCCTACCCACTGCATCTTGAGTCTAATGCTAATTCCCACAGGTGAAGAAAAAGGATGACTTTTAGTTTGATTACAGCATACTCTGTTTATGAGTGTGTTTTTGTTTTAATGTGGGTATGTGGCTTGCATTTATGTATGTGTCTGCATATATCTATTTATAGCTCTGATTATTCATATATAGGAAGTTGGTTATACATAGATCAAATGATATTTTATTTGTGTCCACTTGAAAATGGATAAGTAATTTACTTTAAGCTATTGTATTCTATTTCTTTTTAGACATTCTGACATTCTAGCTGTAGGCCTATTTGTAGGACTTTCTCACTCTTCTCTTTTTATTCCCATTTTTGAGTTTACTTAATAGAAATTCATTTTTCATTATTTCATTTACTGTATTGATTGATTTATTTAAATTTTACTTCATTAAAGCATATGTAGACATGAGTATACTGTATGAATAAGAAAGTGTACAGTATAAATGATAGTGACAAAGTCAGGAATGAGTTGGATAATGGGAAGATTAAGGATTTAGTTAGTATTTTTTCCTTCTTTTTCTATGTTCAATTTTACAAATGTAGAAATTATTTACAGCTGTGGTTGAAAGATGGAATTTACTCCAAAGAAACCACCAGCTACATTTAATTCAAGTAAGTAGGCTTTTTATTTCATATTTCATATTTCATATTTTATTTCATATTGATCATTTGTTTCTTTGTGTTTTTTTTTAAGTGTTCTTAAAAGTTTATTTGTTTTATATTTCATGGAAAATAAGGAGTGCAAATTTTATATTGATTGGTAGGTACAGATATATCATGAGAGAGAGTGAGAGAGGAAAAGATAAAGAAAAGGAATTAGGAGATAGGAAAGAGAATTATAAGATATGAGTAAAGATTAGAGGAAAATCATAAAATGAATATATCAAACTTTGTGGAGTTTTTATAATTTCATTAGATATATTACATTTATGAGAAAAAATTACATCTTTATTTAATTAATGTTTTTCACAATGTTATTCAAGGCACAGTCCGTCGGAATCCATATTCGACTGGCAGTCGGAATTACCTCAAGAAATACCAGCATCGAGGAGGGAAGGCAGGGACCCCACACTCGTCCTATGGAACTCCTCCAGAACGGTTTTGCAGAAACGGTTTTCATCTCGCTCAGAGAAGATGGTAACCAGTGCATTGAAGGCCTTGCCACAGCCTGAGGAAGGTAATACCCTCGGAAAATGGTTGGGCAAAAAGGATTCGTCTCCTCAGGCCTTAAAGCGTCCCTTTAGTGCTATTAATGGGACTGAGAATACTAAAGACCCTTACAACATCTTCTCGGACAATGAAGAGGATGTTTTTATTCCCACGGAAAGAGAGTAAATCCAGTCCTACTTCGGACAAAGAGAATTCGCTCTTTGGCCCACCAAAAAGCAGGGAGTGTGAAGGTGTATGGTAATAAGAAAAAGCCTTGAACCTCTGCAGATCCAGGCTTGTAAGTGATATCTCACCTGAAAAAATTGAGAAAGCTTATGGGCCAAAGTCTTATTTTTCTGCAGAGAAAGAAAATGTCCCACAGAACTGTGTAGTGAGCAACCAGTGTCATCAGTTACACCACCACATCTGATAGGGTAAGAAAAATCAATTATTGATGTCTACTTTTTAAATTTTTTTGCAGTATATAGTTGATAAAAGTTTTCCAAGGAAAAAATGTATATGTATATAACTTTTGCTTTTGATTATTTCAGATTCCCAAACTATGGCAACACATGTTACCTAAATTCAGTCATCCAGTCATTATTTGGTCTTTCTTCATTCCTACTGGATTACCGGATAGTGGCTTCACACCTGGATATGGCCCACACATCTCTCTTCTATGGTCTGAGTCAAGTGCTGTCAAATAGAATGAAGGGCCAAGTATCTGGTGTGAAACAGTCTCTCAAGTAAGTGAATTAACTTTTTATAATGTTGCTCACTCCTTTCTAGTGCTCTCTGCTTTCTTTCATGCTTTCTGACAATGAAATAGCTCCTTGCTAGATTATGATGTAATACTACAAGATCAGTGAAATTGCTAAATGCTTACTTGAATTTCTATTCCTGCAGAACTGTGAAGGAGAATTTAGAACGTGTTGATGGTTCCTTCTCTGGTTTCAAAATGCAGGATGCAAATGAATTCCTCACACGGGTCCTGGACACCATCAAAGATGAGATAGACCGCTGCCACATGACCACACCAAGTCCAGACCGCCCTTCTGGCTCACAGTCTCTTGCATGCACCCCAAATGGAGAGCTGGATGAGGAAGTGTATCTCAACGGCTGCACTAGAAGAGATCCCAGTCCTGTTAAACAAGATACAGTGAAAAATAATGATGCTTCTCCAGTCAAAAGCCCTGAATTAGAGACTAAAACTTACTGTAATGGTGAGGGTATTCCAGAAGAAGTATGCATGGAGAATTTGCAAGACCTAGATGCAGATGATGTACTTGCAGAAAGAATAGCCTCAAGAGAAAATGCACAACTTGACACCCCAACCAAGCATACTGCACCAGAAGTAATCCAAAAATCCAGTGAAGGATAATTTTGAGTTTCAGCTGCTTGAATCCTATAGATGTTTGGGGTAAGAATATCAAAGACGTAAACTAATTTTTATATTTTGTATGGTAAATTTATGATTTCACCTAACTCTTGACATAGTAAGATATTGATGCATTTTCATACTAGCTAATTTATTATTATTTGAACAACTGGCTTTAATATAGTATTTTTATTAATATAGACTTATCATATTGAGAAATGTACCCTTTTTACAGTTGTGAGGAAGTTGAAGGTAGAAAACAAGAGTATTTTGGGCCTATATGTCAACCTCCCTGAAGAGGGTAGAGACACCATTCAGGATGCCATATCCTCTTACATGAGTGCTGATGAGAGGGAATTGAAATGTGAAAAATGCCTTCACAATCAATCTTCAGTTGTTTACTACAGTGACAAGATTGCCCAGGTAATTTATACTAAGAATGAGTTTTGAACTGTAACTTCATGGGGCTTAGTATGTAAGTAATGGTGATTGAATATCCTGTTTGTGATAATACTTATGAAGATATACTGTAAATCTGAAGAGAGTGGGTAATCAGTTTTTACAATATAATTGATATAAATTNCTTTAATATTGACAATAATGATGATAATTATGATGATAATGACAACGATAATGACAATAATAATGATAATAATGATAAAGTCATAATTATAATGATAATCTTGATAATTACTGCAATAATAGCAATAATTAACTCTATTCCAATAATTTTCATACTAATAATTGGCAATAGAAATAATAATAACATAATTATCATTGTCATTTAATTATTATTTTTGTCATTATTATTTCTAAGATCATTATCATTGCTATTTTCATTATATAAATAGTTATAATGATTAAAATAGCAATAATAATTAGCATAATAATTATTATATCTGCAATAATGATGATAATAATAATGATAATCATGATGATAATGACTATAATGATAATGATCATAAAAATGATGACAGTAATGATAATAATGATGATAATAATTATCATTCAGTCCATTTATAAGGAAATAAAGGCCAGAAGTAAGAAAATCCCAAATGTCAAAAAAACGGCAAAATCTACCGTATTACAGCGTTTTGAGAGAAACGTCGAAAAAAACTTTTCGCTTTTTAATGGTAATTATGAGGATTTTAACATTAATTCAGGTAATTATGATGACAGTAATGATAATAATTATCATTCAGTCCATTTATAATGAAATAAAGGCCAGAAGTAATAAAATCCCAAAAGTCGAAAAAACCCTTTTCGCGTTTTAATGGAAATTATGAGGATTTTAACATTATTTCAGGTAATTATGATGATTTCCATGATGATCTCTTTATTATATTATTATCATTATTGCAGTTATAATAATTATTATGCAAATTTTTATTGCTATTTTTATCATTATAACAATTTATATAATGATAATAGCAATAATGATGATGTTAGGAATAATAATGACAATAATAATAATTATAATGACAATGATAATGTTATTATTTCTATTGCCATTATTAGTGTGGAAATTATTGGAATAGAGTTAATTATTGCCATTATATCAGTAATTATCATTATAATTATGACTTTATCATTATTATCATTATTATTCTTATTATCATTGTCATTATCATCATAATTATCATTATTGTCAATAATAAAGGAATCATGGAAATCATCACAATTACCTGAATTAATGTTAAAATCCTCATAATTACCATTAAAACCGAAGAGGGTTTTTTTTCGACGTTTCTCTCATACATTAATACGCTAGATTTTGCCGTTTTTTCTCGACTTTTGGGATTTTATTCCTTTATTTCATTACAAATGGACTAATGATATTTATTATCATCATAGTCATTATCATCATGATTATCATTATTATTATCATCATTATTGCAGTTATAATAATTATTATGCTAATTATTATGCTATTTTATCATTATAACTATTTACATAATGATAATAGCAATAATGATGATTTTAGAAATAATAATGACAATAAAATAATTATAATGACAATGATAATGTTATTATTATTTCTATTGTCATTATTAGTATGGAAATTATTGGAATAGAGTTAATTATTGCTATTATTGCAGTAATTATCAAGATTATCATTATAATTATGACTTTATCATTATTATCATTATTATTGTCATTATCATCATAATTGTCATCATTATTGTCAATAATAAATGAATCATCATAGAAATCATCATAATCACCTGAATAATGTTAAAATCCTCATAATTACCATTAAAAAGCGAAAAGGTTTTTTTCGACGTTTCTCTCAAAAGGCTGTAATACGCTAGATTTTGCCGTTTTTTCGACTTCTGGGATTTTATTACTTCTGCCTTTATTTCATTATAATGGACTGAATGATAATTATTATCATTATCATCATTACTGTCATCATTTTTCTGATTATTATCATTATAGTATCATCATGATTATTGTAGTGTACGTCTGCGTACTCTAATGATGATGTCATCTCCATGAACCTCGGCCAACGCATCACGAGCCGCCGGAGACGAAGTCCCCGCCGTGTGGCACGTGCGGTTACATCCCTCAGACGTATTTTTTTTTTTTTTTTACCTGCGACTGAGTCCGCAGGCTTTCTTATTCATTTATTTATTTTATTTTTACGTTCAGCCATCAGTCAAGAAGGACTGTGGTGATAATGTGAACTTTGTTATTTTTATAACTATGAACGTAATTCTAACCAAGTCTCACTACTTTTATGGCGTTGAAGTCACCAAGCCAAACTATTTATTTATTTTTAAACATGAATATTGTAAATATATTATGGCCGAAATGCACACACCTTTGTCTACCTTTCCATGACTGAAAATGCCTGTAACTCCCTAGTGAGTGCAATTTGCTCCCAAAATAAACATACCATCATAGAGCTTTTACTCAACTCCAGTCAGAATAATTCATAATCTTACCACCACTAAAGTTCTGGTTCTGACCAAGGTTAGATGCCTAAATCTTTCTCAGACTCGGGTCTCTTAAACAGCACATTGCTGGTTGCTCTGACATCACGCAACCCTTGAAAGGCTGTAAAAAGGCTAGATAAATCAGAGAATATTAAGCTGATATCAAAAGAACAGATTCATTTTGCTATACCTGTGTTCCCGCTCCCAGCAGGCGGATGCTCAAACCGAAGGGAAGAAGAATTCCATGATCTTGCTTTTTTCTTCCAAACACGTCCACGCAGACGCTCAGCCTACGCTATCTCCCTTTTCACATCTACACACTTACACATCCAACATTCAGCACACACATTCTGTACTTTCCTTCCACCCTTCTCTGATACAACACCCACACCCACTTACACGACATACAGGGTTCCCGAACCTACTAATCGGGTGGTGGCAGCGTGCCGTAGGCCTGGAACCTTACATCTGTTCACTGCAGACGAATCTTTCCCTTGAGCAAAAACCATATTCTCGGTTGAGCCCGGACTCAACCAGACCACTTAAAATCTACTGGGTCTACGCCCCACTACAACTGTCTTTTTGGTAGGCAGCGGTGGGAGAGAACAGTCATTCTTTCTATAAAGTGCCTGGTCAAGCCTTTGTGCAAGTCTATCGCACGCTAAGTAACGGGTTGTAGAGCAAGTGCTGGGACGCAAAAATGCCTCGCACACGCAATACCGTCCAAGGAGAACCCACTAATGAGTCCTCAGGATCCTCTGCTAACACCCTTTTTGAGGGCCCCGAGTTTCATCGAGGAGATAATGCTCAATCTTTGACTTTGGGGCAAAGGCTAGAGCCCCGTGACCATCTCTCGCTCTCGATGTATGAGGAGCTGGTGGATAAATTCGAACGACTGAATTCTCGGTTCAGTACCCTGGAAGGGCAGTACGCCAATATCGTGCGATTACTGGAGCCCAGGGCATCTGAACCACACACTCGTTCACCAGCTGCGGCCTCTGCATCGCAGGTAGAAGCGGGGGTGCATGCGGTCACGACTGACCACTCGTCTCAGCGAGCGCCCGTCAATCCGCGTCCCTTAGATCAGGTATAACCCTGCATGGCCCGATTTCGCCTTACCGGGCAGAAGTTCCAGCTAGCCAGCCTCTTCGGAGGAATCAGGAATTGGAAATATGGTTGCGGCACATTGAGCAAGCCCATCCTGATGGCACGGATGAGGCTCTGATCAGTTTTTGACGGCATTGGGACCTGGGACGAGTTTAAGGAAACCCTTCGACAACGTCTCCGGGGGACGTGCTCGTCGATGGAGTACCTACGGCATTTGGGGTCGTACGTACTCGGCGACACTTCCCCTAGGGACTTCTATCTCGCGGTCGAGACCATGGTTTATCAAGGCATGCGTGACTATCCTGGTGAACTTGGGCCAGCTGAACCTCTGATGAGGAGAACTTTTCTCCAGGGACTCCCGCCCTGGCTGCGGGAAAAGCTCCTGTTGATAGAGGATCAGCCACTTTACCGGGTGGTCGAAGCAGCCCAAAAAGTCTGGCACCATCGGCACTATGCCGGGCGGGTAGAGAAACCCTTGGTCAGTTTCTCGAGCGAGGCAGGGCCTAAACCTCGCTCTTCTACTCCTCGCGAGGGTCGATCTCCGGCAGCTTCCCCTCCGGTTGATCCCCTAGCAGAGTTACCCGTACGCACTCGAGAACCCCGACGCTGGTGTCCCTACCATCAGGTGACTACGCATGACGCCTCCGAGTGTCGTGCGGTGTGAGAGGGTAATCAGTGCACCCGGTGTGGCCGCCGAGGGCATGTGGCTGGGCGGTGCTTTTTTCGGGCAGAACAACGTAGGGCACCGCCCGACAGAACACAACCGCAACCACAACGAGCCACTGCCAGGGACAATGATGATGGCGGGCGCCGAGGGGAGCGACAGTTCCACGGAACCGGAGCTTTCCGAGGCACAGATTCAGGCGGGGCGGCCGCTATTGAATTGTGTGGTTGCTGGGACTAAGGTCTTAGCCTTTCTTGACTCGGGAAGTGAGGCAACGGTGAAGGAGTCTTGTTTCAGGAGGATTTCCAGCACCCCGCTCTCACCGCACCCAC